TCAGGCGTCGTGGATTCTGGGGCCGGGGGGGGGGGAGGCGCGCGCGCGCTCTCCCCCCCGTACAATCGGGATTGTGCGAAAAAAGATGACGAAACCGGCTTCTTGTATGGGTGCGCGCTCCCGCCGGCTCGCGTGCCGGCGTGGACGCGCCCCCGCATTGCAGACGATTCTAGCGCTGACCACGTGGTGTCCGCATGGAGCGTTCTCGGGGAAGAGAATGGGGACGGGGGGGGGGGAAGCTTGGAGGCATCCATTTTAAAACATCGTTTTTCAGGTGGTGGGAGAAAGGAAGAAAAAGTGGGGGCAGGGGGATGCCCACACTTAAGAGGCTTAAAAAAAGACATTGTGAAGAGGATGGGTCCCAGACTTCACTAAGGAAGGGTGGGTCATAACTAGCCCTCAGTTGGGTTTTTATCAGATTCAGTAGTATGTGTGTTTGCGGGCCTGGTTAAAAGTGGTATATGAAAATGCTTGTTTTGATCAGTCTAAAGTGGGAGTAGTACTTAATATGTTGAAGTGCTTGGGAATGAGGTGGTTTTTGTCCTTCGCCATGACGGTTGGGTAGTCACCAGCGCTGAGTGGCGGTTGGGGGAGAGGGCGGGATGGTTGGTAGGGCCGTTTTTGGCTCGAGGTGTGTGTGTTTTTGTATATGGGGAGATCATCTCTAAATATAATCTGTTTGGGTGGTCTGTATACTAATGAGGAGCCTTTGATACAGGAACAGGATGAAAGAAAGTCAGCAGTGGCCATATGAGTCTTCTGCAGGAAATCAGCAATTGCACCATGGACATGTGGCCTCAAGCCATGTGGCACCTCAGGGCAGCTTTGCTTTCTGGGAGGTGTACAAAGACCTGTGCAAGAAAACCTAAGCAAATTTCAGTGGCTTTATTCAGTCAACCTACAGCTGCATCAGTAACCTTTTCTGTCCTTGACAACATTGTGATCATATACCTATTTTCTCTTTACACTTGATTGATCTTGGTTCCCCATGAAGCCCAGATTCCTGTATCACAGCCATGTTGGTTTTGCTGTCATGAACAGGTTTTTAGAATGAGTTCAGTGGAACCTTTAAAACCAACAAAGTTTTATTCAGAGGTGTATAAGCTTGTGCTCAAAAGTGTATACCTTGAATAAAACTTAGTTGGTCTTAAAGGTGCCACTGGACTTACACTTTGTTCTGCTGCTTCAGACCAACACAGCTACCCACTTGAATCTAGATTTTTAGAATGCTTTTTCTGCTCTGCCCAAGAGACTTAGATTTGGGAAAAAAGATTAGGCGTTGGTGTATGATAGTACATTATATTGCATTGTGGTTCAAAGTCTAGCAAGTAACCTGGTAAATCTATGGTTTACCTTGAGCACAATAACATATTCTGGCTTTATAATTAAAGCTGCTGCTGTGACTTTTAGAGCTTCATGATATAATCATGTGAACAGTGGCAGATGCACTTGTTCTTGCCCTGACTGTTAGATATGTTTGGTGTAATGATTTCTTCTAGTTACTGTTATGTTTATTAGGTATCAGGATGCTACTGGAAATGACATTTATAGCCTTTTATGTAGACAGTGTTGCTGACTATTCTTGGCTTAGTAGTATTCACAGTTGGAACTAAAATATAATAGATGTTTCTGGTGAGGATTTGCTGGAACACTGGGGTGAGGAGGTTGTTTGGTATGCTGGGCCTTCTTTGGTGTAAGCTAGACTGCTTCTACTAGTCTGGTAACTCAGTCTTCATCATTGTGTTCTGGAGAATAGTGTTGTGTGTAGAACTGTTGGTGGTATTCTTTGTCTTTGCACTGCTCTAAAAGGTCTGCCATGGGCTTCTGCCTTTGGTCAAGCTGATCTTGCACCTGCTGATCTTGCACAGGGCTACAGAGCATACTACCAGTGGAACATCTTGGGGATAGAAGCTGGAGACTTAAGCATTGGGAAAGGAGGGAGAGAAAAGAAAATACACTTTAAAAATATTGTAAGCCACTGGGAGGAGCTTTGTAATAAGAAACCAGATTATAGATCCAGAAGTCTTTATATGATGCTAGCTTTTTAGTTGTAGTATCCTAAGGCATGGAATCAGATTATGTATGATTAGATGAAATACCTGCACAAAGTGCTTTCCATCTGCTTAAAGTGAGTCACAGTGCAGAGCAGACAGTACTTGAAAATTTAGATGTGACTTTAATGTTGTCACTCTTGTGGGACAAATTAAGACAGCAAAGTAAAATTCTAAATGTGTGTAGTTTAGGTGCTATTTGGACTTGGAAGCTTGGCAACAGGATGTCTGAAAAGAATCAGGGATGGCAAAAAAAGAACCTTTAATTGGTGGGGTGGAAGGTTGGGATCTCCTATGCAGTTCAGAAGTTATTTGAGTTCTACTGTCCTTGAAGTCAAAGAATAAAGGTTATCTGTGAGTGGTAATTTTAGTTAACTTAAGCTCCCCTATTTTGCAATCAGAAAGGTACCTGGATATATGGTTTAGTAATATGCTATTTTTAAAAAAATCAAAATTTTCCTATTGTATGACACTACTGGTGTTTCTGAATGAATAAGATTGCTAATTTACTGAAGTCTTAATGCTTTGGAATAGTAGCAACCTGGTGTCAAGAAAATAATGTGAGATTTCTGATTTCAGATAAGATTTGTGACCAAATTAGTGATGCTGTCCTTGATGCACATCTTAGACAAGATCCAGATGCCAAAGTAGCATGTGGTGAGTGAACTCTTCTGTTAAAGGAAGAAAACAACACCTATTGTGGGTGTGGCCAGTGAGATCAGCAGTCCTTCTCTTGGAACTCACAGTAGGACAATTTTCTTCTGTAGAAGCTGCTGCTAAGACTGGAATGATTCTTTTGGCTGGCGAAATAACATCCAGAGCTGCGGTTGACTATCAGAAAATTGTTCGTGAAACAATCAAGCACATTGGGTATGATGATTCCTCAAAAGGTAGGTGGTCTGTATGAGACAAGCTTTTTCTGGCTCTGAATGGAAAACGTTTGGCCATTAATACTTAATTGTTTCTGTGGTTCCTAGGTTTTGACTACAAGACATGTAATGTCTTGGTTGCTCTGGAGCAACAGTCCCCTGATATCGCTCAGGGAGTTCATCTGGACAGAAATGAAGAAGACATTGGTGCTGGAGATCAGGTTGGTGTTCACAGACTACACAGAACATGATAGCATTCCTAAGGGTCACTTGGAAGCTGGAGTTCTAAATCTCTGTTTGTTACAGGGCTTGATGTTTGGGTATGCTACTGATGAGACTGAAGAGTGCATGCCCTTGACACTTATCATGGCACACAAGCTGAATGCTAAACTGGCAGAACTCCGTCGTAATGGTACTTTGCCCTGGCTGCGACCAGATTCGAAAACTCAGGTAAATGGCTTGGTGGTGTAAATCTCTAGTGAGAGAATGAGGATGAAAGCCAGCCCATGTAAGTAGATGCTGCAAAGCAGCAGATGAACTCCACTGGGTTATGTCATATAGGTCAAGCCATAGAACATTTTCGTGTTAGAAGGGGCCAGCTAGTTAGGCATTTACTTCTAATGGTTTGTCAGAATCTGAAGGTATGCAGAACATATAACATGTTATTTTTTTCATCTTGGTTTTGTTTCAGGTGACCGTGCAGTACAGGCAGGATCGAGGTGCTGTCATCCCCATTAGAGTCCATACGATTGTTATCTCTGTTCAGCATGATGATAAAATTTGTCTGGATGAAATGCGAGATGCCCTGAAAGAGAAAGTGGTCAAAGCTGTTGTGCCTGCAAAATATCTGGATGATAGCACAGTCTATCACCTGCAGCCTAGTGGTCGTTTTGTAATTGGTGGACCCCAGGTATGAGGGGAAGTTTTTTGGCTTTTTGTCTGTTGCCTGCTCAACACAAATATGGTAGCTTTTTGAGAGGCCACAGATGATAGCTATTATAAACTATCAATAACTTAGTTCCATTTATGTATATGAAAATTAATTTAAGTGGAATTGACAGATCATGTGCCTTGATCATGTAAAATGTCATTTATGGTGTTGGGGGGGGGGAAAGCGTGTGAAATATAGCTGTTTACAGCCCTTTGCTTCAACAGTTTTGTCTTGTGAAGGTGGCAGCTGTGTCCATCTGGACTATAAAAGAAGGTTAAATGATTTCATGGAGTATTGTTAATTACAGGGTGATGCTGGCTTGACTGGCCGGAAGATAATTGTTGACACCTATGGTGGCTGGGGAGCTCATGGAGGTGGTGCTTTCTCTGGTAAAGACTACACAAAGGTCGACCGTTCAGCTTCTTACGCTGCTCGCTGGGTAGCAAAATCCCTTGTAATGTCTGGTCTGTGTCGGAGAGTACTTGTCCAGGTATAGTCAACCTGCTTCTTCTGTGCTGAAAGATTGGGCAGGGGGAATGGGAACACAGTTAAGTTGCAGTTAGTTAACAGTGCTCTATAACCATGCGCTGGTTTTTGAAGAGGTAACCTTTGTGCGCCCTTATATTGACAGTAGACCGGTCAGATAAACTTCAAAATACAAGCACAAGCTAATAGTATAGGACAACGGTGGTTATATAGATGGCTAAACAAGGCACGGTGGCCTTAAGTGGTGTGTTGGCAATGCATAAGTATAAGCTGGTAATGTTGTCTGGAAGAACTTTCAGATCAGTAAATATATGGCACTTAGTAGGTCCCAACTCCTGCACCAGACTTTCACACACAAATAGTGATATATTATGACAGAGGTTCCCCTTTAGCATAAGTGGCGTTGGTTATGTACTAAACTAATAACCAGATGCAGTCTAATTTTTAAAAGTTAGCTCAGTTATGGAGTAATTCTGGAGACAGCAATCAGAATACTGCTGCACTAGAAAAAAACTGTTAGTTGAGGAACCCAGATTAATACAGTAGGTCGGGAGTCAAATGCAGGCAGATAGGCATATCTGGGGGGTGGAAACCAGTAGCCCTACAGGATGATTAAAGTTACTGCATACCTTAATGCTTGTGGTTTATGTTAATTTTGCTTCCAGGTTTCCTATGCCATTGGTGTGGCCGACCCATTATCTGTCTCTATTTTCCATTATGGCACTTCCCAAAAGAGTGAGCATGAGCTGCTAGAAATTGTGAAGAAGAACTTTGACCTCCGCCCAGGGGTCATTGTCAGGTAAAAAACATGGTCAGAATAAGCATGCACATCTATACTTATAAATACAGACAAGGTAATAAGGATGGGACTAGGCTGAAAATGTGGCAAGACACAGTCAGTGGTCAGCTGCCCTGAATGTGCAGAAGTGTTGATATTGCTCCCATTATCTGACACTCCCATCTACTGCAAATTGGCAGACGGAAGCAGTTCATGAGGAATTAGCCTGCTGGTTCATAGTGATAAAGGAAGTGGCTGCAATCTGCATTTGAGGTCAGATCAACTGGACACTGGGGAATCTGGGAGTGTACCTGTAGAGGGATCTTGGTTCAGTATTTATTTCAAATACATGATAAAAACAAGGTGGTGCAACTTGTTGGCCTTTAGACTGTTTGGAGTTCCCTAATACAGACTGGGGAGAACGGTCTCTAAGGACTTCATATCAGTATTGATTTAAGACAGCTTATGGCTGTTTTTTGGATAAATGCTGAGCATTAAGGTAGTGTTAGGGTCACTGATGCCCAAGACTTGACAGCCTTGGTATCACTTAACTAAATGCACCCACATGCGTTACTCCATTGCAATTCCTGGGGTGTTCAGCTCTGCAGACATTGGTGTGTTGCTGCCTGTGTCCTTAAGAATGTGCTCTGGAAGTGGGCAGGCCTGGTTACAAAAATCTGGTTATTCAGATAGTGTCAACCCTGTTGGACATTTGCAGTTGGATGTAGCAACTGTTAAAGGCTGGTAAGTACTACACAATGCTAATTGAACCCAGAGGCTTAGTGTTTTAGGACAAACTTTGTGCTGTTGCCTACATTTCTCGAAATGGGAGCAAATGGGTTATTGTGAGTTGTACGAGGCAGCCATTGATCTGTTTTGGGCATACATCATTGAACATCCCTGCATACATGTTGATCCTTCAGGTGTAGCTGCTTTTTGCTTTGTTTGGTGAATGCCCTGTATTGAGTTACGGACTTGTATATTCCAGGGATCTGGATCTGAAGAAGCCTATTTATCAGAAGACTGCAGCCTATGGCCACTTTGGTAGGGACAGCTTCCCATGGGAAGTACCCAAAAAACTTAAATACTGAATATGTTGGGCTTCTTTCCCCAGACCTGTTGGTGTAATTACAGAGAAACTTTCAGACTCTGTGGGAAAGAGCCCCCTTCCCTAAACTGGTCCTGTCCTTCTTTGCTCTTAACTTGGTGCACACTGTCCATTGCCAGGCATAGTAATTCCTATGGGGACCACAAAATTGCACTGTGCTTTTTTCTCTTGACATGCAAGTAGAGCCAGCTGAACATAGGAGCTGTCAATGTAATGTAGAGAGGAACAGGCTGTAATCGACAGTGCTTCAGTCTAACCTTTGTGTTCTCCCAAAGCCTAACAGGACTCCTTTCCTTGAAACAGTGAAAAAGAAACTTCCGCTGTAACATGCACAGTCTGTGGTTCCACATAGTCTCTGTCCAAATACATAGACCAGCATGATGCAATGACTTGGCTCCACTGAGAATGTAAAGCCCACTTTCCTCCAGCTAAGTAGTTCTCATGTGAGCCATCTTCTTACCAGATTGCCTTGCATGCAGCACAAGTTCCGTCTGGAGCTCCAATCTGGTGTGGTTTTTATATGGAGGTAGATCTGGTTTGACAACCCATGGTGTATTATGCTCTTAATTTAAGTCAGCACCATATTTTAATCATTTCCTACTCTGTCTTCTTGGAGGATGTACGTAATAAGGTTTTTAAGAGATCCTATGCATGGTTTTAGCACTAGCCAAACCTCACCAACTTTTATCAGAACAGGCACTTGGCCAACCTTGTGATGTATTACAGAGAAATCACAGGTCTGTATCCAAGGTCTGTAGGCTGCATACTTTGGCGCCTGGAATTTTTTTTCTTCAGAAAAGCCAAGGAATCCATGTTGCACAAAACTCCCAGGGTTTAAGTTTTCAAAGTCAGGTCCAAATTGCATTCTGAAGTTACTGGTGTAGCTACAGAGAAACCAGCTTCCTTCAGAACACAAGTGCATTTGGAAAGGAAGCGGGGAGAAACCCTACATACTTGAAATTTTTTTATAATTGCTTATTTATTGTGTTTGGGACAGGGTGTGAGTACAGAGAAGCCCTTGTCTCAAATGGCAGCTTTTAAACGTTCTTTTTTGACACCACAAATTCCTTGAGTTTCCAGTATTCCCTGCTAGGCCAAGGTGTCCTACAGAAAAGCCTTGGGTCACAACCTACAGGGGGTCTGGCTTGTGTAAAACGGGAGGGCAGTGCTAAGGTGGCTGACCTTGGGAGGGCTAATTTGGCTGGTGTTGTACAGAGAAGCTAGCTTGTTTACCTGCCCACTCCATAAGCAGGAAGTGCCTTTTGCGATCCACTTCTGGGTGTTTATTACGTATGTCTGGTTCATGAAATTCCAAGTTGATTGAAGAGCTCAATAAAATGGTAGGTTCTATCTCACCCTTGTCTGTATACTTTTGTGTTTGTGGTAAGTAAAGGTTAGAAAAATGGCCACTGGCTTGAACGAAGGTGTGTGGGACCCTCCCTTTTAAGAATGCCAGTATGACTGTCTTTCCATGGCTGCTGCATGTAAAGCCAAAATGAGACAATGCACATCAGTAGGATTCCATAACTCTAGACTGCACTGTACATCCTGACCCAAAGCCAGGCCAATCAGGCAGAGTGTTTTCAAGATGGTTTCTGCTTGCTTGCTGAAAACTATGCAGTGTGGAAGATTGAGGCATGTTTTATGACAAGCATACAGAGAACCCTGATTCAGTCTGTCAGGAACAAAGAGTACACTTTAAGACTGCAATACAGTGAAGCACTCTGGCAGAATACTGGCAGTTGTAGGCAGGATGCCACTTAAGAAACCTTGTCGTTACTAATCTCATGCTACAGTCCCTTATAAGCTCAAAGGGTGCACTGGTCTTCCTTTAAATCTTTTAGAGGGAGAATTGACTTTGGCCCACTTAGTATGTTGCTTGATGGGGGGGGGGGGGCATGTATGCTTCCTGAGCTTTCTGGAGAAAGTTTAAGATACAAATGTGAGGGCTGGAATGGGAAAACTGCACATGATAATGTGCTTGATCATGTTAATTGTAAGTTGTGTGGTTTGTTTCATATAATTGGGCTGTGGGAGGAGCTGTCCTCAGGGTTTTTTTAAATAGGAGCCATTGGTGTAGTTCTCTATCCTTCCTTCATGGACAGCTTGAAAATCTCTGGACTGTGTCCTACAACAATTCCAGGTGAAGCAGAACCAGCATTACAGTATTGGAACAGATCCGTCTCTGGAGCTGGTAGATTTTTGAAGCCCACTTTTGGGAGGGAGTTAGGGGCTGTGAGCCTGACACAGATTGCATAGCCCAACCTATTGCTCTAATGAGCTGCAGCCAGTGTAATGAGCCCCTCTCCTAAAGCTTTTAAGCAGCTTTCACAGAAGCTGTCTGTGTCTTGACTGGCCGGCTATATATGAGATACTTTCTCTGGTTTAGTGGCAGTTGCCCTAGATTGGACCTTTCATTAGGACTAATACTCTGATTTGGTGTGGAATCGTATTGGTAGGAGCCTAGCTCTACAGTTCTGCCCTTGTGCTGTTTAACCTGTGGTGTTCTGAACTAATTTCTGCCATTTGAACAAATAAGGATCAGCAACACTCTCCCTGGGATTAACTGAAAGTGCCCTTAACTCTGCTACATGCTTTAAGCTTGACGCATGTTAATAGAATGGTCTGGGACAGTTTCCCACTCATTCCTCCTCCCAGAACTTAGGCCCACTAAAGCCAGTTCACACAATTTTCCAATATGTACGAGACCACTAAAATCTGCACACACTTGTATCTCCCTTACAAAGCATGTAAGAAGGCCACAGTCTTTTTTTAAAAAACAACCACTACACACACTGCATTGAAGTTCAAATTATTGGATTGTGGCCTGATTTAGCAATGCTGTGTATATGTATTCGGCAACCATTGGCATAGATAAGAATCAAGAGATACAATTTGTCAGGTTCAAATATGTATTAAGGATGGGGAAAGCTTCACCTTCAAGTTCTGCAAATGAGAACAGAAGCTGCATTCACTGTTCTCAAGGGATGGAGAAGAAAGGTGTCCCAAAACAGGCTGTAGGTCTGCAGAGATTGTGATAAACTGGGAAAGGTTTCTATGTTGCGACTTGCCATTGTTAACTAATTACATGCATCCACATCCACCAAGATGAGGGTCAGACTCAGTTTGATTACCTACTGCACCAAATAGACCTGGATGGCCTACACTAGCTCGATCTCAGAAACAAAGCAGCATTGTCCCTGTTTAGGATTTGGATGGGAGACCACCAAGGATGTCCAGGGTTGTTATGCAGGGTCAGGCAGTAGCAAACCACCTTGCCTTGAAAGCCCCATGAAGGGGGTGCCATAGGTTGGCTGTGACTTGATAGCACTTTTTGTCGCCTTCTCTTGCCAGCAGCTCACTGGCCTGTTGAAGGGTGTTGTACTGCCCTCTGGTGCTGAGAAGAAGCAGCTTTCAAAAGAATTGCTTTTCAGAAGAAAACAGTGCAGTAGCACGTTGCAGTAGCACCTTAAAGACTACCAAGATTTGTGGCAGGGTATGAGCTTTAGTGGGTTACTGCTCACTTCAGACTGAAGAAATGAGCTGTGAATCGTGAAGGCTCATACCCTGCCACAAATTTTGTTAGACTCTTGTTCTTTGCTGCTGCTACGGGCAGACTACTAGCACGGCTACCCATCTTGGTACTTTTTAGGACTTTAGCAGTCCCTGGAAGCTGCATGGCACAGAGGTTCAAATTTGGGCAGGAGGGGGCTAATGGTGGTCTCAAATCTGGAATGTATAGAGGCACTGCAGCACAGTGTGTTGACTAGGGAAGCAAGTGAACCTGTATATTCCATATCTGAACAGCACATAATTGTGTTCAAGTCATCACTTCAATGTGACAGTAACAGGTACGTTTGCAGGCCTGGTTGAAAAATATCTCCCCTACCACCTGAAGCAGTACATAGCTGATTCTACCCCTTGCACTTCTCCATTTCATTCTGTCACAGGCTGGTTTACTATAAGGCACTCCAAGCAAGAGTGCTAAGTGGTCTGTTACTGTGCCCAAAATAGTGGCAGAGTCTGCTCATTTGGTTTTATCGATAATTTAAATGCAGTCCACTAATGTTGAAAATTCCAAAGATGTGAGTGCATTTGTCTACTGGAGTTAAGGTACTCAGAAGGCTATTGGCAGTTTACAGGGTACACTGAGTTCCAGTCCTTGAAAATTGATGCTGGAATGAAGTCTGAAGCACCGTTGCCTAATGCAGTGTTAACTGTGCTGCATGTGCCTTGCACAAGGAGTACAAGGATTCGATCACTGGCCTGCTGAAGTTTTAAAATGCCAGCTTTTGAGTGCCTGGCAGCTGCTGGACACACTCAGTCAAGTATTGCTCCTGTCATTCATGGACCCTGACCATAAATGTTTTTTTTTCTTTTCTGGAAAAGATTCCTCCCCCTCCCAAGGATAGCAGCAGCAGCAAACACTAAAGAGTATCTTGGTCATGGAGATCTTTCCCCATGTTTTTTTAAAAATACTGCATTTTTGAATGATATAGCTGAAATACAGTATTTTAAATATCAATAACTAAATATCAATTTAGTTAAAAGTATCCTCTTTCTGCAGAGAGCTGACAAAAAGTGGGAGAGGGAAATTTGATTATTAGCTATTAGTATTGTTTCATATTGTAAGGAAACCTGAATTAGGTTTAGGCAAAGGAGTGAAAATTGGTGGAAGGAACATTAACTATTTGAGATATGCAAATAACACCACGTTACTGGCAGAAAATAGTGAAGACTTGAAGCAACTATTGATTAAGGTTAAAGCAAAGTGCAAAAGCAGAATTACAGCTGAACATCAAGAAGGGAAAAGTAATGATTACTAGGGAGTTACAGAAGTTTAAGGTTAATGATGAAGAATTTGAAATGGTTCAAGATTTTCTGTTCCTTGGCTCTATCAGCCAAAAGGGAGGCTGCAACAGAAATCCGAAGGCGATTGAGACTGGGAAAGGCAGCCATGAAGGAGCTAGAAAAGATTCTTAAGTGTAAGGATGTGTCACTGGTGACCAAGATAAGAACTCATGCTGTCGTATCCATTATTATGTATGGCTGTGAAAGTTGGACAACAAACAGACTTGACAGGAAGAAAGTCGATTCATTTGAAATTTGTTGGAAGAGAGTTTTACAGATGCTGTGGACCACCAAAAAGACAAATGTGGGTTGTACAAATAAAGCCTGAACTTGCCTTAGAAGCTAAAATGACTCAACTGAAGCGATCATATTTTGGTCACATTAGGAGCAAACGGGTCACTGGAAAAGACGGTAATTCTAGGAAAAGTCGAAGGCAGCAGGAAAAGAGGAAGACCCAACAGAAGATGGATTGACTCAATCAAGGAAGCCACAGCTCTCAGTTTATAAGATCCCAGCAGGGCTGTTATGGATAGGATGTTTTAGAGGTCATTAATTCATAGGGTTGCCATAAATTGGAAGCAACTTGGCATAACATACACACTGTTTCTGTTGGCAATGTCATTAAAACAGTAATTGATGGTGCCTACACCAGTTCACCCTCCACAAAACCAAAAATTGTAGATCAGTTTTCCTTCCACTATACTGTGCCACTTCTGTTATTAAAGTAGAACCAGTGTAGACATTCTACAAAGTCAGAATTGAAATTAAGACACACTAAGGAGGGTTTGTGGGCCAGTGACAGCATTGCAATTTATGCAGAAGATTGTGGTTCAGTCCCCGACAAACCTAGTAAGGATCCCACACAGCAGAATGACCTTTTTGTGCCCCAGTCTCCAAGAGTTACCAGTCAGAGAAGACAATAGTGAATTAAAACGGACCAATGGCCTGATCAAATAATGCTCAGTACAGATAATATTTAATGGGAATTTAATGAGTCAACTGTCTGCTACTACTTGGCAACCCTTGCACAGGGCCCTGCATTCTTCTGCTATTTGGCACTGATAGTTCCCATTCTCTGGTCCCTAACCATTCACTTTCCCTGGTTTGCTCTTATGCTAGCTAGCCTTTGGATCCATTGTTAGCATTTTATTAGCATGCCTGATTAGGGTGGTTCTTCAGGGGCTCATTTCCCATGGTTCTAGAAGTTATCATGCAATTCTGTGCACACTTATCTAGGAGTAAACCCTGTTGAATTCGGTAGTTACATTTGATTGCACTGCATATTTTTGCATGGAATATGGATTTATCTTATCTCTAATATGTGTAAATTCATGCACCTAAACACTAAGGCATCGTGCAGCTCAGTCTGCCATTGCAGGTATATATT